CCACCACCACCACCCCCCCCCGGAGGCATTCCAGCAGTATGGGGTTAAATTCCCCAGTTACTTTGTAGGCAAAATTCTCATTATAATTGTTTGGAATTTTGACCAAGATGGGACTAAAAGGTTTAGCCCTTGATTAGCTTTTTAGCAGTATTTGTTGAGGATTATACCAGTCAGTGGGATTGCTCCAGATTTATTACTGTGAATGAGCAAAACTTAAGCAACTGGCCTTAAAACCAGCTTTCAGCTTTGCACATGAATTAGTAGAGATAAGTCAGCTCAAGTAACAAACAGCTTTGGGATGCACTGTTATTACCTAGGGCAGTTCCCTGCAAACCCTCTTGTACCTATTACCCGTCTTACTTCATAGAGACGCCTGTCCTCTGCTCTCAGGGCGGGTATGGTAGGTCCCACCTGATTCGGTTTTCGGAAGAAAGCATTGAAGTAGGTCTGTTTCTCTCCAGGATGATGGAAAACTGTCAAGTTATTATATTGCCCCATGAGGTTTATGTCTGATAATCCTGCTAAGTCCACATAAATATTTTGGAAATATAATTAATTTCTTGCTATGAAATGTGACTGATGTGATACAGCCATTTGTTGTCCTTAAGAAGTGACATGAGGCAATTTGCAACTGCTGCAGGCATCAACAGTCATTACCAGTGCTTTAAATGGAAAAAGGAAGGTAAAATATTTCCTAGTGAAATACTGAAACTTGAATACTGAGCTTGTAGCTACCTAATATTTTGGTCCTAAATGTGGAAGAGTAAACAAAGAAATAACAATGTAATGTAGTTTTATTAGACACTTTATTTAAAAAATGTTAGACAGTTTTTATCTAGCGGTTGAGGTTATTGTAGCGGACTAGTATTCATCAAGACTATGGGCTTTCTTTAAGGGAAGCAAAGATCTCTTGCTGACAGGCATTTCTCCCAAGAGCTTACAGTCACCTTGGGGGTCAGGTGCTCAGAGCCCCAGACAAATATAACTGAAGTCAAGTATTAATTGAAGAAAAAAAAAAATTAAAATTTTCCTTTAGGGATCTATTGCCCAGATCTCTTCTGAAAAGCCCAAATTCACTCCAGTGACAAAATTGAAACAAAATGGATGAAACAGTTGCTGTTCTTGTGCCCCTGTATTGTCATCTCTGAGCAAGACAAATACTAGCAGCCTTTGCCATCTTCTTTAATGCAGTATTTAAATGCCAGTCAATTTCCTACAAATACCAGTATTCTTTGTTTACCAAGAAAAAGGGAAGTCTTCAACCACTTGATGTTCATAGCCTCTAATTTTGGCCCTGAAAAGAAGCAACACTTTGGCTTTGATACTTTTCTACGTTCTTTCCAGACAGGTATGTTTTTCTGTATTAAAAGAAAAAAAAAACAAAACAAAAACAGGATGGTCTTGCTTCTTCAGTCCTGAAGCAACCATGTTGCACTTTCCAAATGCATGTAAAGACATATTATCATGTAATTATAATGATGATTTTTAAAAAATTACAGAATTGTTACAAATGAAGCTTCTAATCGATAATTTTGATGATCATGCTTCCCAAACTTCCACAACAGCAGTGGCAACTGCTTATGTAGAGAAGTAATATGAGCAAAGCATTATACACATTCAGTATCTTCAAAAATCCAGTCTCTGTTTCCACTCCAGATCTCCTGTTTTCTCTCGTCATTCTGCTTCTGTTTCAGGGCTGATAAAGAGAAAAAACTTTTATCTCTTCAGTTCCCCTCCTGATTCACACATTCCCATGTTGCCTGGCCCTTCTTGTTGTTTGCTTACTTTCTTCCTTGCTCTCCTGGCTATAGTCTCTGAAAGTAGCTCACATTTCCTCTCCTGCCACTGTTATGTAGCGGCGGCCACTAATGGCTACAGATAGGCTGTGTGCTGTTTGCTTCCAACTGGTTTTGCAGCCCTCCAGGCTATCCTTGGGAATGAGTAGTCCAGTCTCTGTCAAAACCACGAGAAACTGGGGAAACTTTTTGCAGGCTGCCAAAAACTATTTCATGGACCTGCTGATGTGATGCCGATGCCCTCTTTGACACTCAGTTCATGGAGTGAGTAGTAATGGCCATGTCCCCCTTCCCCCATGCGTTTCCAGAGAAAGGTAGGGGGAGGAAAGCACTCAGATTACCTTCATTTCAGCTTTGTATTTATTTTGCTATTTCAGTGTGTGACCCAACTTTATATTATAGAGTGCTTCTGCAGGAGCTGTTCAGGTCTCTTCTGTGGCCTTTGAAGCATTACCCGCAATTATAAACAACTACACGTGTCTATTTAGTCTCTCCAGGTTGGATGTTTTGCTGTGATGAAGCAGGGATGCTGTTAGCTTGTTTATTCTGTGTTTGCTGGACATTATTTTCTGATCTGATCTGACCTTACAAGTGTGTTTAGCCTTGTCTTGTACAGCAATGCTGGCTCTAAAATGGTATTTGAGTATGTGGAAAAACTTCTGTCTCGGTATAATGTTAATCTGATATGTAATATGAAGATATGATACAGAATAATCACAGCATGTTTAGGTAAGATACTTGGTTTAAATGTTGTAGTACACAGGATCAGTTGGCTTGCTACTACTGAACAGACAAGAGCTAGGCTTCAAAATGCTTTAAATAAGCTGTTTGAAAGGAGTTTGGGGAGTTACTGTTAGCCTTGGTAGGTATTGTGGCCACTGGGCAGCCTGCTCAGGGCTGAGACAGTCAGAAACAAGCTCGCTGCCAGCGTGCTGGTTTGGGGAGCGCCAGGAGCTGGTGGTCCCACACAGAGGCCGTGCGTGTTGGCTGTGCTAGACCATCCCCTCGGCGGGCTAATGAGCTTATCTTGATGCGGTGCAGCGCTGTTTGGTGTGGATGGTTGTAAGCTTTCTGCACCCCTTGTGCTGTAGATATGTCTTTGTGGTCTGGGGGTCTGTTCTGCTCGTGGAGCCTGCTCTTCACGTGCCTTGTGCCTTTTCATTTGCCCTACACCAGCCAGGTTTGGCTGGTGTAGTGTACCATTAAACATTCTGGGGTATTAAGTAGACTGGGCTGCACTAGCGTAGCTCTCCCCACCTTCAGCAGAGCTCAGACCAGGCTGTGGGTAAGTGCAGCCTCCGTAAGATCACACTGCTGGCTTCAAGGTGGGGTTGAGGACATAGGAAGGAGTGGTGGTGTCAGGAGCCTGGTAGCTCTTCCCTTCTTCTGTTTTCTACTTCTTTAGAAGCCAGGATTCCCTTTTTTTTTTTTTAACTTCCTTTAGAGGTCAGGATTTTAGACATCATCCCCATGGTTCTTGTTCTTCCTTTTCTTTCCCTCTTCCCCTCAGTGAGGTGCAGGTGGCCTGTAGGTGACTTGATTTGGGCTTAAGGAGTTCAAAGGAACCATGACGAAGGGAAGGCACCCTCCTGCCTGAGACTACAGAACCTCTTGCTCTGGCCTGCCTGCTCCCACTTTTAGGCTGCCCTTGTCTACCCATCTGATCTATTGAAACAGCTAAATAAAGCTTTAAAAGCCTTCCACAGGTGCTTAAAAGCACTGTGTGCTTAAAAACTATGTACTTATGAGAAATGCTTTACAATTAAAAAAACCCAACTCACCTTAAAGGAAATTCATTTGGAGCATGAAGAATCTGTTGTATCTTCTGAGATGACTGAACTGTATTTGGGGAGTTGGGGGACTTCTTCATCACAGTTGTGTTTGGGGACAAAAGCTTAGGACAAATGTATGGTATTTTGTTGAAGGCAAATATGTTAGTAGTCATAATGATGAAGCAGAGACAACTGCCTGCATAATACATTAGATATAGCTAGACAGGACAGAATCAAGGCTTGCAATGTAATACAGTGCGCCAGTAGGTTATCCTGGGAGATAACACTGCGAAAGGCAATTCTTCCCTGGTCCAGTTCCCCTGTGAGTAACACCACAAGTTAGACATCTTCGGGGAGCTAGTTACTTTTCCCACTTTATCTGGAATTGTACCGTGGTGGGCAGTTGGTGGATGGTGAAAGAATGAGAGATGCCCTGGTGATGGTGTGTATGAGTGCACATGTGCAATAAACTCAGCTTTGTTCTTTTTTCCTGAATGTCCTTACTGTGATAGGTACACTGTTGAACATAAAGCTATGGATGTACACTTTACCTGTTCTTACTCAAGGGAAGGGGTGGTTAATGAACTGTTAATAAGATTGAGAAAATTCAAACTTCTTAGAACTGACATAAAACAGTAAGTATGTCATGTTGCCTGGTCATTTGAGCTCTGTTTGCTTCTTCATTTGTGTTATAGGCATTTAGGCAAGCTTTCCATTTTGCAGTATACGAATATTTTCAAAGCTTTTGTGTTAATTGAGCATAACATCCAATACCAGCATTTCTAATTCTACCTGTGTATTTTTAAATATTAAAAAATGGTCAGTTTAATATATGTGCACCCTTCATTAATTAGAATTATATTAATGCTATTTTATGTCTTTTTCTGTTTCAGAGTTAATGCTGTATCACCACAGAGAGCAGCAATGGGAGTATGCAGTTTTCTATTGAAAAGTTCTCTCAAGAGCTCATGATTTTTTTCCATCTCTCCTCTTAACATTTCTACTACTCCACGGACATGGCTCACCACGCAAGGCCTTCCAGATTAGTCAAAAAAGAAGAGTTAGGCAAAAGGAAAACTAACCAGGGCAAAAAGAAATCTACCCAAGTGAGAAAGAAAACCACAAAGACTTCCACAAAAGCTGTTAGTTCTGGAAAAGGCAAAAAGCCAGCGCAAGAAAAAGATGTTAAGAAAAAACAGCAAGAAAAGAAACCAATCATGAGCTCTTCAGGTAGACTTCTCAGGAGCAGTGTAACTAGAGCCTTGTCTGGAGCATCTTGGGTGAGTTTGGAGAAAGCTGACAATATCCTCTTTCATAACCAGGATTCTTTCAACATCAATGGCTTTACAATGTCTCTCCGTAACCGATCATTCTCCCGTAGATTGTCCCAAACTCCAACAATTGCAAAACCCAGGAAAGCTGCAGCACAAAAAAGGCTAGAAACAAAGGAAAAACATGAACAAGAAGCCCTGGCAGTAGTAGAAGAAAAAAACGTTGAAGCAGGTGAAAGAGTTTTGAAACAAGATTTAGCACAAAATGAGTTACCTCCTCTGCCTGTAGAAGATACTCCATGTAGTAGTGCAGGTGGAGAGCCTGCTACCACATGTGCCAGTCAAGACAAAGAGGTAGAAATACCTGAAACAAATGACTCCATTCCAAGCAGTCAGGTAACTGATGACGATACAGAAGCATCAGAGGTGAAATACAAGCATGAAGACCTGCCCTGTGAGCAGACACCCAGCGATCTCGATACGGGTAGTTCAGCTGAAGCATTTGTTGAAGGTGCTGCGCTTGTGCTTCCATCTTCTCCTTCTGACTCTGTAATCACCTCTGAATCAAATTCGAAGGTGTGTGCAGAGACTCCCTTCGATCTGGTGCCTAACAGTAAAGAACCTGACTCCAGTTCTGTCGATACCTCAGACCTTAGCTCAGCAGTACTGTTAGAGTCGGTCCCACTTGCCAAATCCCACATCGAGGCAGAGTTGGACCTGGTGCTACCTAGTGAAGAACAAAACTCTAATTCTGCGTCTATAGTTACCTCTGAGTTTAACTCACAAGAACGTTTATTAGAAGATGTACGCTCACTTGCAGAGTCCTGCTTGAAGGCAGGCTGGGATTTAGAGTCTGAGAATAAAGACGTTGGTTCAAATTCCAGCTCTGTAGCTGCCACTGAATCAAATTCACCCTTACGTTTTGAAGGTGCAAGCTCGCTTGCAGAATCCCATGTGAAACTGGTTGTGGATTTTGTACCCATTCACAAAGAACTTGACTCAAATTTGGATTTGAGCTGTACAAGAGAGAATTCAGAATCTGACTCAAAAAACATATTTACAGTATATGAACCAGTTTCCGATACCTCTTTAAACAATATTGAAGTGGAGGACATTGAACAGCTTGTTAAATGTATTGATGCAGAGACATTAATTTTGAATTCAGGTTATGTCCCCACTTTATCTCCAGATTTAGAAAAAAGTACAGTCGATAAAATCTCTGGTGAAAGCTCCAGACAATTCTCTGAAGGTTTTGTTTCAGAGTTGCCTTCAAGCACGGAAATCTCTGCTCTTGCCTCAGAAAAAGCCATAAATGCAGATTTGCCAGCTGACTCAAGACTGCAGCATAATGATTATTCATCACAGCTGGGAAGAGTTGGAATAAGCTTGAATTTGGTTCAGGACAACGTGAGCAACGGCACTGAAGCAGTTGAGGCCTCAGGGCCATCCTCTCTTAAAAATCCAGCTGGTGATTACCCTGTTCCATATTCATCTCTGCTCCCTATGCTAGAGAAAAAGAAACGAAGGCGCTGTGGAGTCTGTGAGCCCTGTCTGCGGAAAACAAATTGTGAAGAATGCAGCTGTTGCAGGAAACGCAAAACTAGTCACCGGATATGTAAAAAGAGAAAATGTGAAGAACTGAAAAAGCCACCACCGCCAATCACGCTACCTTTTGAGGTAAGCCAAAGAAGTCGCAAATTGAGTCACTCTTTTGAGGCACATCTTCAAATTCTGCAAAGGGAAATGCTGGTCATTGTACAGCTTTAGAGAGCTTAGCGTTACTGTTGGAGCTAACAGGTTGTATAGTAACTTTCTCTTGTCATCTATAGAGGTGTAGATTAAAGTGAGCTGGAGTTATTCTTGTTCCTGCTGTGTAAATGCGTAAGATCAGAGGTAAGTATGACTTCAATTCTGTGTTCCAGATATTGGCATATTGGCCAAAACAATGAATTAATTGAGGACATGAAGAGATGAGAAAGATTTAAGTGCAAAATAGGGGAGGGGGTGGAATGAGGGTAGTCTTAGGAGACTGTAAATTATTGGGGAGAGGGTCTGTATTTCAAAATACTTAAGGTTAAAAAGCAAAGAAAGGCAGGCTGTTTGCTCTTTAATTCAGATAAAATAATTTGCTTGTGATGACAGATTTGGTGGAAATAAAGTTAAAAACTTCAGGATCAAATTGTAGCTGCATTTCCCCTTTCACATCTCTCTGCCTTTCTAATTGTCTATTCTTCTGTTTCTCTCATTTCATTTCTCCTGCCTGTCTCCCTTTGTCTTTTACCGCATCCCCCATACATACTTTCTTTTTCTATGTTTCTTACCCATTTTTCTGATCCATCAGCCTTTTATAACCCAGGTCATTACTTTTGGAACAAAGAGGAGGGGAAAAGACAATCTGTATGCCCCTGTGATAACAACACTGACCTTCTGAGAGATATCAGTTCAAGATCAGGCTTTAAATCAGGTAAGTAGGGAGTTGAACATAGATTTCCCACATCCCAACTGAATTCCCTGACCTGTGAGCTGCAGAGTTAGCCTCTGCACCTCCACGTCCTGCTGGAAGCATTCTGCTTTGTATGATTCCATGGTACTTGAGCCACGGAGGGGTAGATGTTGTCTCGGTAGTTAAGTTGCTGGGATATTTGCCTTGGGATGTGGGAAACTGCGGTTCAAGTCTCTGCACCAGCTTGTACTCCAAGTGGAGCAGTTCACACTGGGGAGAATGCACCTGCAAAACCTTTCTCGATAGCAGTTTCATTAAAACGGCATATTCTTACAGTGGGTAGAAATTCCTGTCAGCTGCGGAGATCTCGGGAGACCTCCTGTTTTCACTACTCTCTGTCCTGTGCTTACCAGGGCTTGCAGAGAAGTCTGTTCTGTTTTTAAGGTAGGCAAGCAGAAAGAAAAGTCCTGTAGCAGTGAGGGGATATGATATATTCCCCTTTGTGGGGGAAGTATATTTTAAGTTAAAATGTTTAGGGAAATAAGTTTAAACAGCTTGGCTCAGAGTTCATTCAAAAACATCTTTGTGTCTTAACTGATCCCAAGTGCTGTTTAAAAAAGAAAAAAAAAAAGGGAGGGGAGGGACAGCTGTAATGTGACTTAAGATATATATTAAAACAATAAAGGTGATAGAGACTTACAATGACTTTTTACAGCAAAAGAGTAGTGACATTACGTCCTTTTGTATATTTAGTCAGTGGGATTGAAGAAGCTCATGGGAGAGAATTGGTGGAGTTGAGGTAGGAAGTGATCTAAAAGCCATGTTTTAAAAAGGGTTTTGGCAGGGTCGGTGAAAGGAAGCACTCCAGCTTTTCTGTCAACCTTTGTTTTCCAGGCTAAACATACTTCTTTTCTTGTTGCTCAGGCTGACCTTCTCCTTGCAGATTAGCTTTGCCCCTTCACCTTTGTCCTCTTTGGGCACTCCTTTTGCTTTCTTTATGAGAGGTGCCTTGTTTTTATTCTTTTCTTTGGCAGCTTTTTTTTGGTGTGCTTTTATTTTATTAAACTGGTCGCATTTTGTACAATGCATTTAGAGCTGCACCAGAGGCCTTATTAATTTCTTGTTAAATTTCGTATGAAGCTTCAGAGTACTGCATGGAGGAAATGAAGTATTCCTGACATTTAAGAACATGTTGGGTACTTTCTTAGAAAGTTGTATTTGAACGAAACCTGGTGCCTTTTCAGATATTCCTAGAAGCAAGCCTTGCCTCACGTGTAATCTCTAGAAACCGTGCTCTGAGAAAATGAAAGAGGAAAGTATTTCTACAATGTAGATGTGTTATGAGAGCTCTTTAAAGATGTTGAGATACAGGGGGGAGGTGTTGGGGGATGGGAAACACTATATCACTTTGTTCAGCAGCTATCCTTTAGATAAGATTGTAGCACTCCGGAAGGGAATCCCATTGTGTTTTCCCAAACTGGTAGGACTGGGACTGCAACAGCTGGGACTTCTATGACAGTAATGTGTTTCAAATAGAGGGCAGCTGGGGAGAAAACAAAACTGTAGGTCTCTGTCCATGGTATAGAATGTGAACGTAATAATTAAGAGAAGTGGGGTTGGCTTCAGTGCATTCCTTGTTCGGAAGAGTCATGCATCTCTCTCTCATGTTGGTGGAATGTAAGCATTTTTTGGAGGTGATTCACTGGGAGGAGGGTGTGGGGGATAGACATGCTCTGCATGAGCATAGTTTAAACATTGGTGTTTTGCCTTAAAGGGAATTATCTCTTCTCTTTCTAACTAAACAATGCAAAAGTCACAATGAAGTCAATGGGAGCTCTGTACATTAAATGGCTGTAGGATAGCCAGTGCAGGGGTTGGCAGTCTATGCGTACTGTTTGGAAAAACAAAAAATGCTGTTTTTCCTTAAGAACTTATGTGGATTTACAGTTATAGGGAGTAAGGCCTGGCTGGTAGAAGCCGTGAATGTAGACTGAAGTGCATATTCCAACGCACATGCCCATGTGTGCACAAGCAGTCAACCCTCAGAGAGTATCGGTTGCATGTTTGGAGCTGATACTAGTTACGTTACTGTTATTTTCATTAATTCACACATAATCCAGATAAAGATTTGAAAACTATATTGGACTTAAATATCACTTAAAAATAACATCCACATAAACCTTCAGTGATACTTTACCTTGCTGAATGTAATGGGTTTTGCAGGGACGTGACATCATGAAAGTCTGGATAAAGCATTGTGGGCTCTAGTTCACAGCCCCTGTGCATAGCAATATTGTTATATGTAATGCCCCTCTTCCTGAGGGATTCACGCCGTGGCTGCTCGGTTAGGAGCTGGTAAAGAAAAAAATTATAAAATATATAGGGGAAAAATTTTTTTGCTTGCTGAATTTTTTGAAAGAGCAGCCTGGCAAATAAAAAAATGTAGGCAAGCTTTGAAAAGAAGAGGAAAAAGGCTTTATAGTAGGTTACTGTCCCTCTCAGAATGAATGATGCGGGAACGCTTCACAGTGAAAAGAGGGTTTGACAAGTTTACGTACATGAGTGAGTGATCCTTCCCCATTTTTGTCTTGTCTTTCCAAGACTGCTGTTTTCTGAAATACTATAGCAAGGCTATTTCACAGCTATTTTCTACCAAAAAGCATATTTCGTTTCAAGAAGCGGTCTGCTTTGTTGCCATTGCATTGTCAGATGTGTTGAGGCTGTCTGGATGCGTTGCAGTGTGGGGCAAGGATTTCATAGGCTTCAAAACCAGCACGTAGATAGGGAAGGTGGTCCATCATTTATTTTATTTTCTCCTTGGAAAAAGGAGTCCTGTTGTGCACAGGCGGGTGTTGCAGATGTAGCAGCACACGCTCGGGATGAAAATGCTGCCTTCTGGGTGCTTGCAGTCATTGATCGAGCTGACTGTGGTGCGTGGGAGTTGTACTTGGTGGTGTGCTGGGCTCTGGCTGGGTGGGCGGACTCGGATTTCACTTGGCTCCCAGCTGGCCAGCACTCTCCTGGGCATAGCCGTCGCCCTAGCCCTGGCCCAGGAGGGTGCCAAGCTGAGCGGCTCCAGTTACCGAGGTGAACTTGCAGGGTTTCATAACATGCCACCGGAGCTCCTCTTGCCCAAAAGTCCATAAACATATGGGGCTGCAGTAGAGCCAGTGTGCAACCAGTGGCTGTGGGGAGCCCTCATCTCCAAAGGCTGCTTTCTGCAAGGCTTGCCAAGGCGCCTACATTCTAGGGTCCTACCTGGGCAGGGAGCCCTCTTGGGCTGAAAGCATCTGGTGGGGAGAGCTTTAGTTCGTGTTAGGTAAGGGACCACTAATGGTTTAGTGGGTCCTGGAGTCAACAAACTGAAAAAAATCAGGTCACTGAGTGTAAGTTCACTGGGTTGACCAAGGTGTCTCGAGACGTCTTATTTAATAGCTGTAATCTGAGTAACATGAAATATTAAATAACAATAAGGGCTTGCTTGCTTGTGGGTTTTTAACATGCTGCTGAAAACCCAGACATATTTAAAGGATGCTGCAATTACAGTTGGTTGGGAACTTTCCAGTAAGCCATTCCTTGAATGGAAAATGCTGATTTAACAGAAAGCTTTCACAGCTACTATCTGTCCCAATGCAACTGTTTTTGGGGGAAAATTTCTCAAGGTTCCAAATGAAATTTCTGCTTAAAACGTAAAAAGGGGGAGAGAGTTATTAGAGCAGCTTGGTGGTCAGGGCATTTTGCCTGATGCAGAGCAGGGGCTTGAACTTTGGTCTCCCACATCCCATCTGTCTCCTCCTGAATTCTTGAAAGGTTTGCTCCGCTTTTGGAACACAACCAAATGTCGAAATCTCAAAAAAATAAAAGCAAAATGGAATTCTTGTTTTCTAGCCAGACCTAGTTATAATCAAGAAATTTAGACTTTGTGGTATTTATCTTACAATAGACTCCAGGAATATTTAAGCCAGTTAAATTTTAAAATGAGTGTGCATAAAAACCCTCCTCTTGAATACGATACTTGAGAGTTTTGTAAGGGGATAGCACATGGGCTAGAGGAGTTTGGTAACGTGTGGCAAAGATGGGCAAAGCTGTGTACAGCCTACTCCATGGATGCAGAATAGGGAGTTGGAGTAGTGCAGTTTACTCTTATTTTACACACACATGCTCTGTGGTGTGTAAAATAATAACAAGTCACTTTGCTGTTCTCTGTGATCCTGGGTGTGGACTACAATGCAGCCTAAATTACAGGCAAATAGGTTAGTTCAGGGTCTAGTTATTTTCAGAGGATGTGTTTAAAAAGTTGCCTCTTCACTGCTCCTTATTTTCTGTGCCAGTTCTTACAGCTTTTATGGAGAAATTTTTATTTGAAGAGGTTTCTTTCCTTCCTTGTGTATGAGGACCCATCCTAACAGGAGGGGAAGCTGCCTAACTAACAAGGAGACCTGAAACTACCGCTTAAGTGCTGTCCAGTGCATGCAACAAACTGGGGACTAAATGAGAATACTGGGTCTTAGGTTTCTAAGCAAACAAAATAAATATTTTTTTTTGTATTTTTTTTTCTGGACCGTAAAGCATCTTAAGTAGCCAAAACTGCAAAGAAGAATCAGATCACCGAGTGTATGTACCTCTCTTGGTTTTATTAAGCTTAAAGACCCTTGCAGACTTGTGGTATCTTAGGAAAGCATTACAAATCCGTACTTTTATTTTACCTGATCCTAAATCCTATTTAATACAGTACTCTGGTGTAACAAATGAGGAGCTTAAATACAAGGTAGCATCAGACAACAAAAACGAGCAACAGCTTTCTCTTGCTTGATTGATACGCTGCAGAATGAGTTGTGTGTCCATGTCTGAGCATTTGCACTACTTAACTGATTGGCACCAATAACCTGACAGGAATTACACTTGTAATTTAGCAGTAGATACAGAAAACAGTTTTTAAATTGCAGTCCGTAGCTGCTGAAAAGATGTTCTTAAGAGTTTTTTCATGTGTAGTGCATAAATCCATGGCCAGATTTCTGGTTTAGATGTCAACTGCAAATTGTTTCAGTAAATGCTTCGGTGACTAGTAGTGTGTTAGATACGTTGTTACTTGTTTGTTGTCCCGGTAAGCAAGTGTCTGTGTGATACATTAGGACTTGGGGTAGTGCTGCGACCCCTCCATCCTTCCGTCTGGATGAATGTTTTAAGCAGGTGGAGATGTGGGAAAATAATTGCATTTCATGTTTATACGGTGGCCTGTTCACATCGTAATCTGTTTGCAGCAGATACGTTGTTAGGTGCTGTAGGAATAGATGAAGACAGAGCCTTATCTTGCAGCAGGGCTGTGTGGGTTGCACGCAGCAGGCTATGGTGGGCGGGCAGGGTCCGTGCGAGCCTGCTGGCTTTTGGGTCTGGTGGGTGCTGGGCTCCTGCTCCCAGGCAGAGCTTTTGGAGGGGGTTGGTGCCGTGCAGCGGTTCCCTTGGCTCGGGCCAGCCGTTGAAGGCAGGCCCTTGGCTGTGCACGGCAAGAAAGGTGCACCTTCCTCCAACTGAGCGGTCATTTGCACTCTTTCCAGCATGAGCCGGGGTGCGAGGGGAGCATTACCAGCAGAGCCCCCCGGGCGCTCGGCCCTGCGCATGCTCCATGACCGCTGCCCCATGATGCATCCCCACCTCTGCCCCCGCGAGGCCTGGGGGGACCCTGTTGCTTGCACGGAGTCCAGCGCTTCACTGCCCAGTGCCCGCCTGCATGTGCACAGGCGCGCGCACACGTGCATGCCGGTGCACGCACGTGTGCATCTCTGCGTGTGCATGGAGGCATGCGTGCGGGTGCACGGGGGCTGTGTCCTCGCCTGACCCCACATGCAGCAGCCCTTGCAGAGCCGAAAGACCCCGGGACCGCTGCCCGGGTGGGTGCCCCCCACCCCCGCCGCCCGGGCCGTGCACGCGCCTGCGCGCGCGCG